GTAATTAAGATCTGGTCTTTTCCCTCTGTCTGAAGTGCAGCATTTTCTGTTTTGTTTTGGTAACTAGATTCAACAGTTTTTCTGTATCCATGGACTTCCGTTACGTTGGTCATCTTCTTGGCAAGTTCAGCGTCAGTGACATTTCCTTCGAGATCCGTGKTGGTCATGTCTTCACCACCGTTAATAAAATCTTTTTCTAGTCCTTTACTCGTATCATTTTTAATTCTGCCCTGCACACCAGACAYGTTATAGTTTTCTTCATTTYCTTTRGTGTAATCTGTCATATGAGTCACTTTTGARGTGMCATTCCTTTCACGAGTTGTCTGATTCCCAGTCTCGTCAAAACTTGAATACCCTTTGAGGTTTTACTTAAAGACTCCGTTATCTCTCCATCTTCATCTAACTCTGTTGACCTCCGTACATGCATAAAAGGTTTAGACGAAGGAATCTTTCTCTGAGAAATTTCTTCAGAACTTTCCAATGAATCGCCTCTGTTAAGATTGCATTGACAATTTGCTTCGAACTTCTCAAAGCGTGAATTATTACTGATTTGGATTTGAACCAGAGCAATAATGATCCCAAAGGACAGCACTGCGTGGATAACGTGCAAAGGAACGAAAATACGGACACAACTGGACCGTTTAGCCCTGGCATCCATGGTTATCCAAAAGCTATTCAAAAGTGTTGACGAGCTGTAATTGAGACCATCAAAATACGATACGCACTAATCGAAATTTCAAGAAATGTGGTCGTTTCCTGTCCTACCCCCTACCCCCTTTGAATAAAACTTGTACTAACAATCCATCTACATATTTTACGTTATGAAAAGCCGACCTTTTCCTAGGGAGATAAGAGGCCTAAAAAACGAATGACCTCATCCTCGTTAACACAAGAATTGAATGGGGACGTCCGGGGTTGAATTGGCTCGTTATAACTTCTGTTCATATTTACTAGCAATAGTATTATGTCATGATAAAAATTCAGTACTCAAAACTCTATCAAGGATGGATTTTAATTCTAAAGCCATTTGGTATATAAGTTTGATATGGTTTTGTCTATTGAGCATGCATCAAGCTGACTGTTGTATGCGTCAATGCTATAATTCTTAGTGCTGGAAGGTGATGTGCAATTTCCTCAGAGATATGTCTTGCAACGCCAGAAAAAGATATCATCACAACATGTGCTTCTAAACGATTACTGTGGGAAAAAATAACCTACATCAGTCAAAGATAAATATCTATTTTCTACGATATTTTATATATACCGATAAATGCTGATTGGCCCTTTACACTGTTTACCTTGATATTTCGCAGAGAATCCTGTATAAGTACTTGAACCGTCAGAGGTAAAAGTTACATACAATGTAGAAAAAGAACTTATGATAGGTCTTGGAATCGAACTCCCAGTGTAAACCCCAAGACGCCTGGAAGAGGTTGATTCTCCATCATAAACAGTCACTTTATCATGAGTTGACTCTGTGTTGAATGCCTCAAAAGAAAGACGAACTCGAGACTTTGAGGTGAGTTTCCAATAGCAACTCAAATTGTCTGTATATTTTCCAGGATACCCAGGTGACCTAATGTAACCACTGAAGGAACTGATGCTTTTGTAGTTACAATTACTTTGAACATTTACCGGTATTACTGAAAATTGATCAGAAAAAAAAAGAATGAAGAAATCAGCACTGAAAGCATAAAACGTATTTATATCCCCGTGAACTAAAGACAACACTCTTTGAACATGACAAATTTTAATTTGTCATGTTTTGTTCTTACATTAAAATGTAAGAAAAAAAAGTAAAAAAAAAATATGGAAATTGAATCTCTCATTGAACAAAAAATACTTGTTTCTTACCTGTGACCTTAAAATCCTGCGATGCCATACCAAATTCATTTGACGCTTCGCACGAATAATTTCCAGATTGATCATCTTGTAAGATGGAAATGTTCAGCATAAGACTAGACCTCGTTGTATTTAGCAATGTACGACCATTTAGCTTCCAAATTATCATGGGACTTGGACGGCCAAACGCGGAACATTCTTTTTCAAGACGTTTTCGAGCAATGACTGTAACTTTTGCTTCAATTGGAGTAAGCCTTATCCATGGGGCGACTGCAGGAAAAAATACACTGAGTAATTTACACCACCGGCAGTGACTCGACACACTAACAGAGGCCACCGGTCCTGACTGCCTCCCAGCCCAAATTCAATACCAGGATAATACTCTATTTTATAGTTCCAAACATCATCTTGCAAGGTAACCAAGCATTTCCAGTGTGATAGATACCTTTTGTTAACACCTAAGAGACAATAGACTTCTGAACCTTTTACGTCACTACTTGATTTTCAATGCATTGTGGGATCAATTTCAAGAGAAAACAAAAGAAATCCGCCATGTTTTGTCCCAAACATGTCCTACAATGCATTGCGTATACGGTACATGACGCAAAAGCTGCAGAGGTCTATTACTCACATGTATTTATCAATGCAAGCTCCGTCGCTGTCTACTCTGCGAACAGAGCTACTTTTCTCACCCGCCGAGAAGCGAGACAAAAATACCTCTGCCTATTTCCGATTATTATTCCGTTGAGCACTAGCGGTAATTCGCAAGGTGATAATGACGTAGACGCGAAAACCGGTTGAAAACCGGCTTTTCAATGAATAGCCCATAATGTTTACATCCAGAAGTTTGGATGTAGTAATCGGAAATAGGCAAAGGTATTTTTCTCTCGCTTCTCGGCGGGTGAGAAAAGTAGCTCTGTTCGTAGAGCATCGCTGTCTCGCTTTGATGCGAAGGCTTGACTACCTTTCATGATGGCGATGGGAACTGTAAAATGGAGTATTTTAGCTTTAACGTACTTTAAGATAATAATATATAAATACAAATGTAGTTCACCTGGTTTTTGAACAACCAAAAATGTCGATGCTTTGACCTCTCCAAGTAAATTCCTGGCCACTACTTCGTATAGTCCAAGATCAGTGCTCGTCACGTTACTTATAACAAGACTTCCATTCTCAACTCTAAACCTGTCCTCATCCTGAAGGGTCCACAAAGGCCTCGTCCACAAAATAGTTGCTTCAGGAAACGAAAAAACTTGAAAGTTGAGATGTTTTGAATGTGACAAGTATCCAGTTTCAAATTTGCTTGGCCTTTGAATAATCTTAGGACTCACTAGCGAAAGAATTTGAAAAATTAACAAACTTTTTTGGCAAGAATTTGAATAGGGAATTACCTTGGACAATAACCTCGACGCTCCTATTGACCACACCAACAGTGTTGTTAGCAAAACATATGTACACCCCTCGGTCTTCGTACACAACATTGCTAACATTCAGAAACTGGCCGTTATAGGTATGACGATGTTCTGGAAGAGAGTCATTCGCTTTTAGCCATTGTATATCAGGGGTTGGGTACCCTGTGGCATTGCATGGTAGAATAAGAGAGGTGCTTTCGTTGACTGTGATTGGCTGATCAAGGAATGATGTAATCTTGGGAAATACTATAAAGAATACAATATGTTTGTGTTTAAT